AGATTTTTAGTAATATATTCTTGGTTAATAAAAGTATATTTAACCATATATGCAATTTTTTGGTTGTCTATTTAAGTCAATTAAATTAAATCAATTAATAAACATAATTATATAAATCCGTATTTTAACGAATGCATACCATGAATCTGAATATCAGGATTTTCATCAAAGAAGTCATCTTTACAAGGAATCTTTCCTTCAACGTTAGCTTTATGGATGATTCCAACTTCAGCTCCATTACTCCAATGATTGATTGTATTTGGAGTCGATTTAGCAACGATCAAACAACTCGGATGATCTAATAAATTTCTTCCAACTGGTAGTTCTTTACGAACTTTTATATTATTTGATTCAAGATTTTCTTTTGGTCCAATACCGGAAAGCATTAAGATCTTGGAAAAAAAAATCAAGAAGTTTTATGATTACATAACATTATAACGCTTGTTTAATAGTAATTCTTACCTGAGGGCTATTAATAGCACCACCACAAAGAATAACTTCTCCTTTTGGTGCAATAAAAGCTTCACGCACAACACCATTACAAAAATATCTTACGCCGATCGCAACTTTTTCTTCTTTATTTTCCTCATCCCAAATAATATTTATGACGTGAGCAAATGACCTAACATCTACTGATGAAACTTTTCCGAAACCATCATTTTTCGAATCTGGATACAATTCGACTTTTTTTAATGCATCTTTTAGATAACTATCAGCCAAAGAACATCTTCTTCCATCCTTTATTGTAAACTATATGTATGGTTTATAATCAACATAATGAAACAAATACAAAGTTGATACGTAAATTAGAAAATTTTATTATCAAGGCACCTGGAAAGTTCCAACACCATTCTGTCTCTCCCCATTAAAATCATCATTATAAGGAATTCCAAGGTTTTTTGCAGCATCAACTAAACCTGACATAATATCATAAATCCCATTTTGGTTATCTTGCACATGAAGTAAACCATCGAATCCATGAAATTTTTTAAATTTTTCATCAGGATTCTTTCGTGAATTATTTTCTACAGCTTTAAATGCTTTTAGGAGAAACATATATTTTTTGAGTAAAATCAGGTGATTCAAGATTAAATTGAAATAATACGGTAAAACCATACCTTCTAGACAATGATCCCAATCCCAAATTTTGTACTCAGGGCCTTGTGCCGCCCAATCATTATACTCTTTTGCCTGACCACGCCTAAAATTAACGATATAACTTTTTTAATACATATATGTAATAAAGAAAATAAATTTGTAATTTTGTGAAACTTGCATGTAAACCATTGTATTCAATGAACTACTTCCTCCCCAGACCTTTCCGCGCACATAAGGGGCCCTCTTTCTTAATATTTCTTTGGTAGGGTCTATAAAACTTCGTGTTCTTTGTTCCTCAGTAACATATCCCCAGTCATTTTCACTTATTTTGAAAACCTATGTTACAGAAATAACATGAGCAAATTAATTAATACGAAAGATTGTAAATATCACACTATTTATGAAAACATTAGCAGTAGATTTTATCACCTTAAAAGAAGCACAAGGTAAATTAATTAGGCCATTAGAATAAGTATCTGGACCTCCGGCTTCCAATACAAGGACATTAATATTCGGAATACCATGAATCAATTCTCTAGCAAGCACACATCCAGCAGTACCAGCTCCCACGATAATGAAATCATAAATTTCTTTAGTTTTAAATTTTTCTTGATTGCAAATATTCTTAATCCAAAATTCACAAATTTTTTTATCATCAATTCCGTTTAAATCTTGACTCATATTTCTAAAACGCAATTTATTAATGAAGGTTATTATGTATAAATATTTTCTTTCGATTCTATTAAAACCAGTGGCTTATGACTTGTTAGACATATAAAATTTACTAAGGGATAAAAGGTATTTAATTGTATGACTAATAAGGTAAGTATGGGATTATAGCGGAGTTTGGGTTTTTCTCTCTTTTGGAACGAACTTGTTTTTTCCGATAAATAAATGATTTATGTAAGTATGAATGCTGCACGAATGACTTCATGCATCATAAAATTATGGTGAGGTCGAGATTATTAACTATACTGCATACTATTGAATTCAATGTAACCAGATCAAAATTTCAATTTATTTACACTTTACTATTAACAGTCACGACTAAACCCTAAAAATGTTTTCCCATAAACAGGAACTTTTGCATCATTTTTGACTAAGCATTTAATGTCCACGCACGTACGTACGTACGTAAGTGCTTATTAATGCATTGGCTTTTGCCTTAAACAAAAAAGACACTGAACAAGAGCAGCTGTCGGGAAATTCTTTCACTATTATATCAGCTGATTTGGATAATGCTGGTGGAATGTGTTGGGTTGGTATATGTTATGAAAATGGAAAGGATTGATCAAGATTATAATACTATAAAAAATCTGCTGATATGGGTATTAAAGAATGTTGCTCAATTTTATCGAAGCGGTATTGGCGCAAAGATATTCAAAGTACAAATTATTGGTTCACAAAAATATAGAAGTCTTAAAGACTAATGAAATTACCAGATCATATTAATTCAGAACTTAAAGAGAATATTACATGGTGAGAGATTTTTTTGGATCGATTTGCAACTGTTATATTATTGTTATGAATTATGATAAAATCTTATACAAGTATTACCTGCACTTTATAGCCTTTGATCTCGAATCAATTCATTTTCAGGAACTCAATCACTGAGATTTACACGGTGAAAACATTTTGCAAGGTCATGCTTGGCATAATACATATATCACTGATCTTCAACTTTATAGAAAAGTAAAGGAAGGAAAGTTTTGCGAAGTTCCGCCGTATATATCACCTAAGAGATTTTGATGGGTCAACTGTACATCAAGCACCAGATATAATAAGGTCTCGGAGTTATCATGACTGAAATTTCGACCGGGCAAAGAACATATGATGGAATTCCGTTTGATATTTATTTTGCATCAAAAAATTATTGGTGACCAAAGACCTGAATGTTTAGAACCTGATTTGGATCTCCTGATTCCTATGTTAATGTTAATTTAGGTAGCTGTGCGACGTAGTCGCGCTGAAACTAGGAACAATGTTGTTGGTCGAAATACCCTATTTAGTAAGATATTTGGACAATTAAGTGCCTAAACATATTTCGACATGACATTATTTTTTGTCGAAATGTCAAAATTCTAAATTTGGCTAAATGTTTATATAGATGACTAAATAAATATCGATATATGGCAAAATGTCCAAATTGGGTGGTGTCGCGGTGACTTTCGACCCTGATAATACAAATTACGTATTACATTGAAATAATTATTACAGCATTAGTCTTTCGTACGTAGACTAATAATCATTTTGACATAATAGTAATTTGTATTATCAGGGTCGGAAGTGTTCGCCGATCACGTCACTGCGACATTTTTTCGCCATGACTAACCCACCTACTTCACCGACAGCCCATTTCACCGACAGTCAATTCACCGATAAGTTTCCACCGACAGTTATTTCACCGACAAAAACATTTTCGTTGGGGTCAGATTAGAATTAGAGTTAAGGTTAGTGCAATTTTTTAAAAAAAAACTTGTCGGTAAAATGAAATAGTTGTCAGTGAAATAAACTTGTCGGCGAATTGATTGTCGGTGAAATGAATTGTCAATGAATTGATTTTCGTGAAACGGATCAAATAGAATTATCCCAAGGTATAACAAAATCCATATGGGTTCGATTGTAATGTGATAAGAATTATGATTTTGTTTTAAACTATATAAATACTTAACGTACGTTGAGAATGTGTGAGTTGCGTCGGAAAAGTTTCTGGGCCGAAATATGACAACTCACTACAAACACTAATACTAATTAAACTATTCAAACTAGAACATAATAACTATAATAACCTAACCCTAATATTGGTAAGGCTTCGATCGAGGCGTGGAAAGACTTGGTCCGAGTAACCAGGGTTATTTTGGGTTATTAGCGATAGTGTTGGATTTAGATAGTGTCCTTTTCTTTCGTATTAAGTAATTCTCTATAACATCGCTAATAATTCTTCTTTTCATAGGTACTGCGGCTGGGTCTCGTGATCGAAATTGGCCAATCAAAATGTGGTACAACGTACGTACAAGGGTTTGTATTACTAATACAAATTATTTTCTCTCACTAAATATGATAGTCACAGGGACAAGATACGATAATGACGAACGATTTTTGAACAAAGTGAACAACGGGTTAGAGACAACACTTCTACTCTTCTTTCGAAGGTTTTTGAACTCTAAGAGTTAATTCTTTATTGAAGGTGGGTTTTCGCCGCTTTTATACTTTCTCTTTACAGACTAAAAATCGATACTATTTTTCTTTTTAACACTATTTTTCTTATCTGTCCTATTTATTCGATAATATTTTTCGACACTATTTACTTAATAATATTTAATATTTTTCGATACTATTTTGTCGATTTGTTAATCGCTTCCAAAAAATAAAAAATAATGAAAATAAAAAAATAAAAAAATCGAACTCTTGTACTACGTCGGATGGTAATATATTGGGGAGGGTAATTTCGACCGTTACAAACGTACAGAAAAATATATATTTGTCAATTAAATATATTTTATTTAATATCACCATTTTAACGTAATTTGTCATATGTTTGTCATGTTTATGCAGCTGAAAGTCATGTGAAAAGCATGGTGAAAATAGCAAATTTCCATGGTGGAAATTAGATGTACATCGTGCAACATGGCAACTTTATCTTGCCTGCGGTTTCGTAAGAGTTACCTGAGATAACATCATATCTCGCGCGATATGAACTTTTTGATTAAGAATTTTATGAAAACAACACTGTTACTACATTTGTATCCTCAGTTACACATTGCAGATCGCTTCTGAAATCTCCAACAATCAATATCACATGCAAATCAGCCAACCACAATTGATAAAAAAAATTTTCTCTGTTTTTTATGCTTTTTGAGAAACTTGTTTTTGCTATGAAATGTCAAATACATTAAGCAAATCTTAAAGTTTTCTATATTTTAATATTATTCAACCAACTCATATAATCATGGCGTAGCAACATCTTGATATCTTTGCTAGTTTTGATACAATATCAAAGATTTATGTTTTGTATAATTCAATACCAAATATTTATGTTTTGTACAAATATTATTAACAATTGTACACAATTTCAATATACAGTAAAACCCCGCAATAATCACATGCTAAAATCAGACATTTTATGTGCCTATTACGAGATTGTGACTAAAGCGGGCAAGAATTTATATATAGTGTATATAGATAAATAAAGGAATCAAAGTGACTATAGCGGGATTGTGGCAACTGCGGATGTGACTATTGCGGGGTTTTACTGTATAAAGCTAATTAATTTTATTATAGTATTAATTACATTTTTAAAAAATTAAAATTAAAAAATATAATTATTAAATTTATTTTTAGTAAGAATTTATTTTTCATTTTGCATATTTTTATAATAAATATTTTATAGTTGATTTTTGCCCAATATATTTTATATTTGTGGTTGTAGCAGCTTACTAGTAGTAGTTGCTTTAATAGATTTCTGGTAATTGCTTTTTGGTAAATTTTTAATAGTTGTTTTTGGTAGTTTATTAGTAAATTTTTCTGGCAGTTATTATAGTTCATAGTTATTTTAGTAAATTTTATAGTTGTAAATTAGCAATATTTTAAGCTTATTAATATTATATACAAGTTATATTATTGAGTTTTTAAATTAAAAAACTTGTCAAAATAAAATTATTATTTAATAGTTGTATTTTAGATATTTTATTTTTAAAAATAAAAATTTGGTAGTTGGAGAAGAATCAGTATAAGAAATAAGAGAGTATCAGAATCAGAATAAACCTTGTAAGAGTATAAATACTAGAATTGTATAGTTTAATGGTTAGCCCTGACTGCTAATGTTGGTCTTGGTTATAGCAAAAGGTATCTGAAGTTTAACTGAAAATGTGTAGGATATAGAAAGATTAGGGGGTATATACTACACCTCTTTTAGAGTAACTTGATAATATAAAAACCTATAGGATTATCTATAAGATAGAGCACAAGTAATGTAGCATATATCAATCTAAGTAGTCTTCAATTGAAGTAATACAAAGTTATATACTAGCATGATTGTAGAATAATATAGAACAAAGAATATCAGAGAGTTTAAATAGACAATCTTCTAGTTAGATTACAGATATAGCATATAGTATAAAACCTTCAAATAAACTACTTAAATAGACAACCAAAAAATTGCATATATGGTTAAATATACTTTTATTAACCAAGAATATATTACTAAAAATCT